AAAACAGGGCTGGGGATTTAGCTCAGTGGTTTTGACGCCTGCTGCACAAGCCCAAGGACCCGAGTTTGATCTCTGGTACCAAAAACAAAACAAAACAAAAGCCAAAAAAGACAAAGGTGACCATAGGCAGACGGAACAGCAGGGTCTGAACTGAGCAGGCTTCCTATGCCTGGGCCTGGGGGGATGGGGCTGGGAGGGACCTCGGAGCCCAGGGCTGGGTCCACAGGGACAGGGCCATGGCGCTGGGCATGAGAGGAACATGGCAGGATGAGCATCAGGGCGATGTCCTTCCAGAGATGTGGTCACTTCCTGCCCGCTGCGTCTGTCCCCACTGCAGGGCACTGAGGCCGGTGCTGTCCAGATGGAGCCAACTCAGAGGCTTGCTGGCCCCTGGAGGTCAGTAATGTGACTGTCACTGAGGTCAGCAGCCTCCATCCTGCGTGGGTGGGGGATTCAAGATAGGAGCAGGAAGGGGCAGATCGGGAGGAGGAAACCCTGGGCCAGCTTCCCCGGGCTGGGCAGGCGGCAGTGCGGCATGCGTCATGGACTTTCTACAGATGTGTACCTCTCCCAGAAAATTGAGGGAGGGGATACTTTTATCAGATAATTATTGGTTTTATAAAATTATCCCAAATGTATTTCCCAATACACTTAAGTATTTACTTAACTAACCATGATTCAAAAAGTCTACAGATTTTTGTTTCAGGGATTGATTACAGAGAAAGTCGGGTTTTGTCAAAAACTTTAAGTAACTTAAAACATTTTTTAATTAGTCCGTGTCTGCAGTACACAATGATCACATACATGTGCATAATGCTGTTCCATTCTTTTTTTTTTGGTACCGGAGATTGAACTCAGGTCCTTGCGCTTGCGCAGCAGGTGGAGAAACCACTGAGCTACACCCCCAGCCCCGCTGCTCCATTCTTTTTACTTCTCTTTCCCTCCCTTCATCTCCTGGTCTCCTTCACATTTGCAAAAGATGCATCTCCCCATTTCCTGTTAGCTATCTTTTATTTTGCGCTTACTTATTATTTATTCTTTGGACTTCTCACATAAGAGAAACCATGTGATAGTTAAGCCTGATATTTAAGTCTGATTATTTCACTTAACATCGGCCTCAAGTGTACCCTTTTTCCTGCGGTGACTGGAATAACGTCAGTGATGTGGGGATCTTTTCTCTGGAAACCCCTTTGCCTCATGCATGCCCAGCACGCCCAGCCTTTAAGCTGCCAGTCCTCATTGCCCTGAGTGGGTTTGCACGTTTGCCTGCTGCTAACATTCACTTGTGCCCCCAAGTCAGCTCCGCACTTTTGCAGTCATTTTCAGACATGCAGAGCGACAAAATGCATGTGTCACCTGACGTGACCATTCAGTGCCCTCCTGGCTGGCTGGAGTCCCACTCGGACACAGTGGCCCTCCGGTGGCCTAGTGACTGGCCATTTCCCCAGTTTGCTTTGTGTTGATCTAGCCTGTTTGCCTTCCTGGGGCTGAGAGTTGCTGAGGGGACAAAGGGCAGGTGTCAGAGAAGAGTCACCCCACAGGCGTGGGCTGGGAGATCAAAGTCTACAGGGCCACAGTTAACACTGCATCGGTCATCTGAGCAGAAGCATGCACGGTGGCCAGGGGACACACAGTGACCAGAGGTCAGTGGGAACGAGGACGTTTCCCCGGCAGCCATGGCTCTGCTTTGGCTGATTCCTTGTCCATGGTGACTTTAATGTGTTTTTTTTTGGTACCGGAGATCGAACTCAGGACCTTGAGCTTTCAAGACAGGCACCGGAACCACTGAGCTAAATCCCTAGCTCCACGGTGACTTTAAACCTGGCTGCAAGAAACAATGCGAAGCTACCATCTTTGGCAATGAATTTCCTTGGTGGGAAGCTGTTCTATTCCTTTACAAATTGAATTATAATGTGGCCTTCTAGAAACTACGTCTGGGGGAGCAGCTGCTTGAAATTAAGAGTGTAAACAAAGACGCACAGAAGCTGCAAGTTGGAGACCCTGGGCTGCCACCAGCCTGCTGGCCCCTCCTCTCAGTGGTTCCTCTGTGGCACTGTCAGGTGCCTCTGTCCCCTGACTGAATGCTTCCAGTCACGCAGCGCTCACCCCAGGAGTCCGACTCAAGGCTCAGGTCTGAGCAGAGCTCTCTTAGCCCGAATCTTCCCCCCGGAATGGCGCCTGGTGGCCGTGGAGCTGGACTCCACGCAGAGGTGACAAGCCTCTCTCCTTGCAAAGACCCTTACTGCAGGGTGCCTGAGCAGGCTCATCCCCACATCGCATCTCTTTCAGGGAAGTGGCTCCCACCCCATCCTGGACACTTGTTTCAGGGCAGCTCTTTCGTGCAGCATCTATGTCTGAACTCGCACATCCAGGAGTCCTGAGCAGGCCAGCAGGGGCCCTGCAACCGGGACTCTGGTCTCCGTCAACATGTTCTGCTACATTTTGCCAGCTTCCGCTCATTCTCCACGAACATCCACACTTCACGTCATCAGCTCCAGCAAGTCTCCCAAGTCCAGGCCCTTTTAAAATGATTCTGCAGGAAGATATCTCACTCCTTATTGGCTGCAAAGGTCAGGTTTTAGAAAGTCATTATAACCTGTTTGAGTAATTATTCTGACAACTATCATAGCTGACCCTTCTAAGTTTTAAGTGGAATAAGTACTTTAACTCAAAACACGGATAAACAGATCACTCAGGACTGGGCGAGCCCAGCCTGGTGCCACAGGCCTGTGGCCCTGGGTTCAATCCCCAGTACCCCAAAGGGGGGGGGGCGGGGGAGGAAGTACTGCTTTTCCTGAGAAGCGTCTCAGGCAGTAGTATCACGGCACTAACCAGCTCTGCATGTCCGCCTTTCTCTGCCACCATCTAAACCTGCATCTGCATCTGCCATTAGGTCCATAAGGTGTCTGCCCTCCTGGGTGACCGACATCCGGCCAGGAATGCAGCAGCCCTGGGGAGAGGAAGTGGCATTTCTGGGTCATGCCTTCCTGGAGGCCATGCCGACCACTAACATGTTCCCTGACATGCTGTGCTTAACCATGTACATGTTAAACTGGCATCATCCTTGGTGTGCTGTTGCTGAAACCTATTTTCCTCCATTTTGAAAATCTCCGGCTTTGGCAGTTTCTGGTCACTGGGTAATCTCACTGAAGAAAGATAACTCAAGAACCCTAAGAGAATTCAGGAGCAACGGGGGATTCAAAATACCCCTTATTCCTCCAGGTGTTCACAAGTCGGCTCCTGCCACAGACTCCCAAGTGCTGGGACTGCAGGGTTAGACACCACACAGCTTCCCTACTGCCTCAGGCACAGACTCTGAAAGCTTGGCACTGCAGTGGAAGCCAGTCACCCTGGGCCAGCGTGTCCCCTCTGGGCGGCCAGATGTCTCTGTCCTCTGCTCCTCCACTGCAGAGTCCTCTTGCTGCAGCCCGCTGGGCTGGAGCCCGCTCTCTCTAGCCCACTCTCCCAGAGTGCCTTTCCCGGCCCCTAGTCTGCAGCCAGTATCCTGGCTGTCCTCAGTGTTTGCACCTTCCTCTCCTGAGTCCCCGCTTCACACGGTGTCCACACTCTCAGCAATGGCAGAACTCATGGCAACAGAGAGGAATAAACAGCTCGTTCCTATTGCGAGCTGGTAGATTCTTCACACCTGATATTTCAGGCTTATGGACGTCGATGTTCAGAAGTACATCCCCTGAGGGGCTCAGAATGTCAGCACTTGGGGAGGCTGAGGCAGGAAGGTCCAAGGCCAGCCTGGGCTACATAATGAGTTCAAGACCAGCTTGGACTACCTAGCCAGACCCTGCCTCAAAAACAAAACTAGAAGTACACCCTCATGTTAATCTCTTTGAAATCAACCTGTGAGGATGAGATATTTTAATAAGGTTTTTGCTTTCCTAATGGTATATAAAGGTACATCTCAAAATAAATGGCTTTTTCGGTTTGTTGAAGTGGGTGACGTTCTCCGCGTCAGTTTTCCGCACTATTGGACTAAGGAAAAATGCAGCCATGGTCCACTAAGATGATTTCCCTACTCACGAATGGGTCACAACCCGCAGTTTAAAAAGTGCTGAGAACCGACCCATTCACCAGCGGCAGGATTAAGAGCTAAGACCAACCGCATTACCGGGACTTTACAGCCCCACTCTCGGCAAAAACACGACGTGGCTTCCAAGAAATTCTTGCCCAAGAAGAAGTTGCAAAATACTTCATCGCAGTTCAGGGACTTCCTTAAAATCTATTTACAGGGGCCGGGCGTGCCACTCCACACCCGTCATCCCAGCACTCTGGGAGGCTGAGGCAGGAGGATCGTAAATTCAAGCCCAGGCTGGGCAATTTGGCGACTTAGCAGGGCCCTGTCTCAAAAAATAACAAAAGAGCTGGGGACCGAGCTCAGCGTGGAGGCCCTGGGATCAGTTCCCACTACTGCCAAAGTTTAAAAAGAAAACTCAGTCACAGGACACGTACATTACCAGCGGCTCCCGAAGGCAGAGGCCCGCCACAGGACCCCGTGCTCCGGGAACGGCCGGCCCGGGCCTGCCTCTCCCCGCCCTCACGCCCACACGAGCCCCCGGCCTCCGTTCCCGGGTGGTTCCGCGCCCCCGACCCCGCCCGGGCCCCGGCCCGCGCGCACTCCCAGGGGGAGGGGGCAGTTTCGGCGCGGGTGGGAGGCGGGGCCGGGGAGGGGGCGCGGGGTGAAGTGAGGGCGTCGGGAAGACGTGGCCCTGTGCGGCCCCGCCCTCCCCGCGTCCGAGTGGTGGAAACTCCCGCCAGGAGGGGAGGAAGGCGGGGACTGTGGGGAAAGGGGCGTGACCAGGAGAGGCCCCGCCCCTCTATTCTAGGCGGTAGAAAGTCTTGCGCGTGCGGGCCGGGGCGGGGCCCGTGGGGTGAGCCTGTGACGTCGGGGGCGTGGCCGCGCGTCCCCGCCCTCCCTCGCCCTCTCGCGCGCGCCGGCTTACATGGCGGCGACTGCGGCAGAGCGGGAGCCTGGGAGACGCCGCCGCCGCCGGCCGCGCCGCGGGGCCGAGCCGACGCCGGGGGCCGCCCGCGGGCCCGCCCGACCCCGATGAGCCGGAGGCGCCGGTGAGCGCGGCGGAGCGGGCGGGCCCGCGGGCGGGCCCGCGGGCGGGGGGCGAGGCGACCTCCGCCGCACAAAGCGCTTTTGTTTCGTGGCCGCGCCCGGCCGGGCCGCGCGTCCCCGCGGACCGCGGGGTCGGGGGAGGGGGCCGGGACCCCGAGCGGTAGCTGCAGGCGGGTCTCCCGCGCTCCTCCCACCGGTGCAACCCCGCCCTCGGCCCCACGGGTTCGAGTCCCGGGCCCGGGCCCCGCGGACGCCCGGAGACCCGCCAGCGCCGGTCCTCCCCGGGCGGCGGACGCCCGTGGGCCCGAGGGGCGCTGTGCCGGGCGCCGGGCTCCCTCCTCCCGCTGCTTGGGCCTGGGGCCCAGCTGGCCCCTCGACGGCCCCGCGCGGCTTCCCGGGCTCCGTGGGTCTCGGCGCGGGTGGGCTCGCACCCTTCGGACGTGGCCTCCGCGGGCACCCAGGCTGGGACTCGGGACACCACAGCTCCGCGTGCTCGCGAGCCCCGCTGCGCGCCACAGCCGCCGGTCACTCTCCTGCCTGGCCCCGGTGCTCGCCACGAGAGGCTTGCGACGCTCGTGGAGAAGACCGAGGGGCGGTCACTGGCCGTGGTGAGCCTGGGGAGGGTCGTGTGGTCCGCAGCCCACCGTGCTGGGCAGAGCTGTCCCCGCGTGGGATCGCGGACCGGAGGCCCGGCGCTGACTCAAAGCGGCCTCGAGTTCCGAGCTGCGGTGACTCATCCTGCCCACGGCGGCTACGTGGCTTTTCCCCCCTTTTTTCAGAATACACTTTTTAATTCTTTAACTAGTTGAAGAAAATGTTTCTGTCCACATTATATTCTTTTATAAGAGGGACAGCAGTATATTTTTAAAAGTAATGGTTTCTTTTCTTTTTTTTTTTTTTTGGTATCCGGGATCGAACTTGGGTCCTTGCGCTTGCGAGGCAGGCGGCTGAACCACTGAGCTAGATCCCTGGGCCTAAAAAAGTAATGATTTCTTAAATTGCATTTTGAGAGAATGTCACATACCCTACAGGTGGAATTGTGTGGCATTTCTGGAGAGCAGAGTTTAAAGCAACCGCTGCTCAGTTGTTGAAATTAAATTTTTGATACTAGCAGATCTTGGCTTCTGTGAAAAGAGATTTGTGACAGGTTATTTAGAAAGGGCAGATAGTACTCTATGGTGTTGGTGGAAATTAACCTTACATTTTTGCATTGATTATGTAAAAGGTACCTTCATAGTAGCTAGGAAATTGGTGTAAATAAGCGTTCTTGGTTTTTTAAAGTTCAACTGAGTGTACTATTTAGTCAGAGTTCTGAGCGTGAACATTTCACTCTGCCAGAACTACTAAAGCCTGACCATACAGACTGCTTTCTTAGGATCTCAATGAGCTTTCTGCTGAAATAAGGACAATCTGAAATAGGCATTTGCTACAGGCACAGGTTTTCTTCTGTTTTTGCTATGTAATCTAGGCTGGCCTTGAACTTACTGTGTGGCCCAGGTTAGCCTGGGACTGGGGAGTCTTTTGCCACAGCCTCCTGAGTAGCTGGATTACAGGTGTGGGCCCTATGCCCAGTTGACTGATTTTGATTTTTTTCATTTTTTGTTTTGGTACCGGGATTGAACTCGGGTCCTTGTGCTTTCCAGGCAGGCGCAGGAAGCACTGAGCTAAATCTCCGGCCCAGTTGACAGATTTTTTTTTTTTTTTTTTTGGTACCGCGGATTGAACTTGGGACCTTGCGCTTGCAAGGCAGCCGCCAGAACCACTGAGCTAAATCCCCGGCCCTCCAGTTGACTGATTTTCAAACAGTAAGTTGACTTCAAATAAAGTTGAGAGGGTAAAAAGAAAGGAGAGAGGGGCCGGGGTAAAGGACCTGAGTTCGATCCCTGGTACCAAAAAAGAAAGACAGCAAGTATGGGAGTTTTTCTGTTTGTTTTTTTTGGGGGGGTGGTTAGTAGTGGGGATTGAACCCAGGGCCTTCACCCTGAGGTGCATCCCCTGCTCCTTGATAATTTGAGACAGGCTCTTGCTAAATTGCCCAAGCTAGGCTCAAACTTGAAATCTTCCTGCTGGGGATTTAGCTCAGTGGTTCCAGCGCCTGCCTCGAAAGTGCAAGGACCCGAGTTCGATCCCCGGTACCAAAAAAAAGAACTTGACATGAAATCTTCCTGCCTCAGCCTCCCAGAGTGATAGGATTACAGGCCTGTGCCACCATGCCTTGCTTGGGCAGTTTGTGTTAAAAGTGACAAGAAAAATCCCTATTTCCATCTCCTACATACACCATTTTTTCATAATGATTTGAGTAGTTTTGTGGACATTAAAGTGTATTGCTGGGCCGGGGATTTAACTCTGTGGCGCTGAGCCTGCCCCTAATGCGCAAGGTCCTGAGTTTGATCCCCAGTATCAAAAGAAAAGTGTATTGCTCATGTGAATTAAGTTTTTGGAGACATTTGAAATGACTTGTTTTTCTATAGAAGAACTTTTTTTATAGATGGAGGAATTTCAATAAAGCTTAATTCAGACAAAAATATCTCCTAAAAGAAACAAGTTCAACTATGGAAGCACTGAGGGTTTTCAGAGCATCACATATGTGGAAGTCTTAGAGGTTGGAGATGTATTTCTAGTGGGTTTTTAGCTGCTGTGCAGAATCCAGAGACTGACCAGAGGCCTCCCCTGCCCGTCTTCTTTTCCCAGTGTTGCCTTGAAATGCCCAGCCTGCTGGCCACAGCCACTCCTCCTGTGCCCTCAGGGCCCCCTTGCCTCTTGCAGTTTGGCCCATGAAAGTAGGAGGAAGATGTGCTTGGGCGTTGGTCCATTGTGCAGCTCTGTGCTCCGAGGAATAAAGCAGCAGTGGTGTTACTGTGGCACTGGCTCTTCCCTGGGAGTCGCTCTCTGTGGGCTTTGGAAACATTGGCTTTTAAGGTAACAGGTGTGAGGTTACTGTTTCTCCACCCCCGAGTGACTGCTCCTCTGCTAGGCTTGCCTGGGGGGAGGTTAGTTTTGAGTTAGGGTCTCCCTTGAACTCATGACCTTATTCCTCAGACTTCGAGAGCTGTGGTGACATACTTGGTGTTGGGTTGTGTAAGGGACAGGTCTCACTGTGTTGCCCAGCCTGGCTCCAGACACCAGGGCTCAAGCCAGCCTCCTGCCTCAGCCTCCCTGAGTAGTGATAGAGGTTTAAAAGGCATATCTTTCAACTCTATGAGCCTTCTAAATCCATTTCTAAAAAGTTGTACAGAGGTTGAATGTTTTATACAATTCATATTTTCCCATTAATTTTCATTTAAATGTAGGGGTCCTGTCCCCGCAACCCCACTACTAGGGTCTTTGCACTGAGCTACTTCCCAGCCCTTTTCTTTTTGATTTTGAGGCAAAATCTTGCTGAGTTGCCCAGGCTGGCCTGAAACTTGTACTTCTCCTGCCTCTCAGGTGGCTAGAATTACAAACGTGCTCTATGATGCCTACCTGTATTTTTCTTTTTAGCAAAAAACAATGATCTTACCAAAATTGTTAGAATCCTGGCATTTACTTCAGGGGCCTGCCTCTGCAGAGTGAGAATCCATGTGCATCTAATTCTGTGGCCATGAAGCTATAAAATAGCAGTTTCGGGGTGGGCTCCTGGGCATTTTGTTGCCCCAGGCTTACCAGGAGACACGGCCCAGAGCTGACTGAGAGCGTTGTGTGTCCAGTGCCGCCTTGACCATCTGTGTTAGCGTAGGCAGGAGCACGTTAGGGGTCCTGACTCCATCAGACCCCCGGGTCTCCTACGCATGGTGACATGGTTCCCTGTCCCAATCCCCATCCAGGCTTGCCCAGCAAGTTGATGACTCAGTTGGAAAACCCAGGCCTGCGAGTGGTGCTTTCTGCTGTCCCTCTGCGTGGCCATGCAGCAGGACTGTGACCACGGATGTGGCATCCGGTGAGGTGGCCACCAGCCACGTGTGACTTGGAGTACCTGACAAGTAACTGGTGCACCTGAGGAAGCGCAGTGTGTGTGTGCGGCGCCTGGTCACGCTGCTGCATGCATGTGAGACAGCCAGGATGTAATGTGATCGGTACCAATTTATTGCAGTAGCCGCCTGTGGCCGGCAGCTGCCGGATTGGACAGCACTGACTGGCAAGAGCTTTGCCCACACTAAGTTTGAAATTATGTAATTTAACTAATTAGACTCAGTTTAATAATCTCTTGTTCATGTACAAATTGGAGAGGTAGCTTTTAACTTTTTTCCTACCGTGCCTGAGTATTTTATGGCTATCAAAAGGCAGCACCGTTTCCTTCTTTATGCTGGGATTACAGGCCTGCGCCACCGTGCCTGTAGATTAATTTGTAAATCTGGCCCCAGATTAACTTGTAAAAAACCTCTTCTTGGTCGTAGTTCATGTGTTCAGCAACCACACTGGCTGAGGCCCCGGCCGGCAGCGTGGGCCAGGCAGCTCTGTCGTCACGAGAAGCTGTCTGGACCCAGCAGTCAGGGGGCATGCTTGTCTATAAACTCTCTCCCGCTTACGTCCTCCTCTGGCTGCAGCCTTGTTTCTCTGCTTTTCCTCCAAGCAGAATTGCGTGCTTCTTCCATGGCCTTTGCTTGGCCTCTGCACCGCTCAGCCCTGGGACTGACCTAGGGAGGGCCACCCAGGCTTCTGTCTACAAATCCAGCACTGGGGCTGGGCCCAGACCTTCAGCCTTTTTAAAGAGTATTTTTTATTTTGATACAGGGTCTTGCTGAGTGTCTCTGTTACCCAGGCTGGGCTTGAACTTGCAGTCCTCCTGCCTCAGCCTCCCCAGTGCTGGGATTACAGGCTCACGCCACCGGGCCTGGCTGTATAAAATACTTGATTCTTCAAACTTCTAAAGGGAAAAGCTACATTAAAAAATCGCACCATACTTAGTATAGCATGACTCTGGAGTGGGTCCTCATGTCTCCGTGTTGGGGGCTTGGAACCCCCTGGAGCTGTGTCATGGAGGTTCAGGGCTCTGCCAGTGCCAGTGTCTCGGCTTGGTGCGTGC